ACCTTGCAACGATTATTTCCCTATCTATTTGCACTCAATCGTATGAATTATATTCTCATAAATACAATCTCATGTGATTCTTTTCAATTGTTGACTAAGACATTACCATCCCTGTTCTTACAAGTTCTCACAACTAATTTTAAAATATGGATGGGCCAAATCAAGAAGTAAATGAACTACATGGAGTTAAAATATAACAACTTCTTCCAACATTAAAGATCAATACTCTCCACAACTTCCATCCAATACTTTATTTACTTATCATTTTAAGAAAAAGATAAAGAAAAATGCTCAAAATTCATGAAGAAAATAAAACCACTATTTAGTTTAAAAGCAGAAATCATTGCCAAACCAACAAGAAGTTTCAATTAAAACTAAATGTAGTAACCAAAAGATAAAAACTTATGTCAATTCCTCCACCAAACTCTTCAAGTTCCTTTGAATCTCTTCTCTTCTTACAACACTCTTAACTCTCAAAAACTAGAAACTATAACTAAAAGAAAGAAGATATTGGCGTCTTACAGTCTCTCTCAGAAATCACAGCGAAGAAGAATCTAAAAGAAACACTTAAAGAGACTAGAAGCAGCCCTTGAAAAGTTCCAAGCCTCCTTTTTTTATAGTTTTCTAAGATGTGCCTTGATATCTCTTCAAATTGTGTCCAAATTCAATGTATTCTCCAAAGGATGCCTCCTTTCACTAGTCTTTTAACCATATTTCATTTTTTTGTGGCCATAACCACCCTCTTTAGCCAATAGGTGCCTCAAATGTCCCTTCAAAATTCATCAAAATGAATTAAGTCGTCAAGTAACTGTCACTAACGCTTAAGCGCGGGCCTCTGGTGCTTAGGCGCGGTCTTCTCTGTTTCACCGGTGCTTAAGTGCCATATCTAACTAAAAAGGCTAAAGTCTTTAAGGGTGATTGCTCGCACCTTTTCTCTAAAAAGGCTAAAGTCTTTAAATAGAAAGCACAAACTATGGTGCTTGGCAATTTTTCAACCTTTGGTTCACCATAATCCTATTAAATTCTTGAAAGTATTCTTAAGTTTTATCCATTCCACTAATCTTAATACCAAGATTTGGAATTTTTTTAGAGTTGAAGTGAATTGTGTCATTCCGAAAAACCAATCTCAATTCTTGTATTTTTCTTTTGCAATGGTTGGCCACATTGGTCTAGCTACTGTTGTGTATGTAGGATGTACTAAAATAGCTAGGCAGGAGTTGTAAAAGGACCAACAAGATGAGGCTTAGATTGTGGTTGTGGGGGGCATTTTAACTGCCTGGCCACTCCTGCTGGTGGTAGAACTCCCAACATGTCTTGTATGACTACATTCAATGATAACATACACACTACTAGTTTATTTGACTTGGGTTACAATGGGCCTGATTTCACATGGAGGAGAAATAAGCTGTGGGAAAGATTGGACAGATTCATAATCAATGACAAATGGTTCCAGTTATTTTTGCACACCACTATTGCTCATCTCAGTTTAGCTGGCCTAGCCACAGACCACTCTAAATTTATATCTCAACTAATCAACAACAAGCCAAGGCCCCTTTTAGATATGTGAATCTCTGGACACTGCGGAGATTATGATCATCCAAATCCACTGATTAAACTTTGGGCTCTGCAAAAAAAATTTAGCAAATTAATGAATAATTGGAATTGGAAAACCTTTAGCAACATTCAGGCAAGGGTGGAACAGGCTGAGCTAGACCTGAAGGAAACTGAAAATGCTGCTAATGGACTGACTGATGAAACCACTCTGATGGAAGCCAATGAAAACTTACTCACAGCAGTGACTTGGCTAGGGAAATTTCTTAAACAAAAGGCTACCACTAGCAAATTCATTAAGGGGAATAGGAGCACAAAGTTCTTCCATGCTTATATTAAGTACAAAAGAAAATGTAACACCATCCATTGGATCAAAGACAACCTTGGAAATAAGATAAGGGAAGCTACTGAAATTATTGATAGTGTTGTTCAGTATTATCAATGGCTGATGACCTACTCATCAAATAATAGAGGGCAGTTAGACCCTAAGCTTTTCACCTCTGACTAGATCCATACAGCCAATACAAACCCTGCTGATGCCCCAGCTGAAGAGGAGATCAAACAAGCTCTTTATTCAATTGATAGCTCCTAAGCAGCAGGACCACATGGGTTTACCTCATATTTTTATAAAAAGATGTGGGATGTTATAAAAGATAGTGTTGTGCCATCTATACAAGGATTCTTCCAATGTTATGATCTACCTAATTACTTCAGTGTTGCTAACATTGTTTTTGTACCAAAATACAATATCAAGGAATAATGACAACACTTTAGGACCATCAATCTTACCAATGTAATTAGCAAAACTATAAGTAAGATACTACTGACCAGGCTTCAACCTCAATTGCAGCACTTAGTAAGCCTCAAATAGGCAGCCTTTGTGAAGGGAAGGTACATTGGAGACAATGTTTTATTAACACAAGAATTACTTCATGACCTTGAAAAGCCTTGCAGGGGGGCAACATGATTTATCAATTAGTTTTAAATAAGGCTTATGAAATGATTAATTGGGATTTTTTGCTTGAAATGCTGAAGGCAAGAGGTTTCTCCAATGCCTCTTGTCTGACTATAAGAAGATGGCTATAAGGTACAGGAATTCAGTGCTAATTAATGGAATGGCTCATGGATTTTTCAAAGCATCTAGAGGAGTAAAACAAGGAGACCACATATCACCTACAATCTTCATTCCTGCCCAGGACTATTGTCGGCACTATTTTTGGTGTGGGGTTTGC